GAGAGTGAGAGCCTTTTATAATCTTTGCTACACCACCTGTGCTCATACAGAGTGTGTTTGGATTTCCAGATCCATACAGCCGCAGCGGCGCTCCCTTCCTCACCTCCTCCACTCTGGGGCACAAACACACCCAGAGGAAACGCATTATTGACGAAGCAGGATCTTCCTCGAGCTTCCGCCTTCCGCCATGTTTTCGTGAGGAACACGACGCAGAAGGTGCCGAAGGGGTTTTGGAAGAATAAAACAGGTTTGGGCCAATATTGAATCTAGAAGAACAGTTTGCAAGGATGGATTTAACTGAATGAAATTTAAGCTCGTAGAGAAAAGAAATGAAAACAGAAAAACAGGTATGAATCCTGCACCTGCTGCATGAGAGCGGCGGCATCTCTGCGGCAGCAGCCTCACGACAAAAAGGTGAGGGGAGGCTTTGATGAAAATCAGCCAGCTTTCATGTGCAGCCGGAGGGGGAAGAGAGCCCTGGGAGTGCAGCTCATCCATCCCCGCTATAAGGAGAACGGTCGCCTCGGGCGCCAACCGACAGGAACTCAAAAAACACACACACATGATTTGTTACACTCGTGTGTTACGCTCCCCTAACTTACATTCATTTCCTAACTCCAGATCTAAATTCTCCACGCTGCATGACTAACCGCTCGACGTCACACTAATCTTAAAATAAGCACAAATTCTGACTCTTGATCCTAAAAGAGAAGGAAAAAAAAATCCTTCGCAGCACGGGGGTGCAGAGAGACACATTTCAAAGAAAGCTGCACCTCACAATTGTTCTGAAATGGTAACTTTTAGTCACACAGAAGCAGAAATAGAGTCACCGAACGTCGAAGTGGTATCATCCAGACCCGTAATAAACAATTAAATATAGCTGATTACATAGTCCTCTGTGTAAATCATTTCTACAAAAACAACAGTGGGCGATGAGCGCTGCAGATGGGAGTTACTCAAACAATGTGGGCAACAGGTTAAGAAAATAATCCATATGTTTCCTGGCAACAGGCTTTACCGAAGGGATTAAAACAAAGCACGTTGACCACGTTTAATAATTGGAGGAGGAATTATCTTCATTTGCCTGGGCCTCACGGGGAGGTCAGAGGTCAAGCGCAACACAATGGGTTATAGAGGTGGTGGAAAACTGCTGCCTGGGGACCTGGGCATGTGTCTGTTTTGAAAAGGGTTGATGACTTGTTATTCCTGTCATACTCCTCAGCAGGACACTTAATTAAAAAGATAAATATTTGTTTGTCTCGGGGCCGATGATTAATCTTGTATGTTAAATGTTCTAATTAGCTTTTTCTGCATGGCCACAGCTTGTGACTCTCTATGCTCGCAGCATACAGATTAGGCACAAGCTTTCACTGACATTTCCACTGAAACTTGATTTGAACATCAAGAAAGATGGCTGCATATGTGGTGCTAATATGAAAAGACAGGATTAATGTTTCACTCAAGTTGCTGAGGGATATTGTGGAGCTTTTTTTTTTCTCTTTACACCACTCACATATTCCACAATTAAACTGTGGAGGTTTACATACATCTGGATCTTTCTAGGTTCTTAAACAACCTAAGATGAACAGCAGTGGGAGTGTGTGTGTGTGTGTGTGTGAGTGAGTGAGTGACCGACCGACCGACCGACCAGCCCCACCGTGCGTGGCTCTTTGTGAGTAGCTCTCAACTGGGCAGTTGTTTCGTGTATGCAAAGCGGCCTCCATTTTCTTGGTTTGGCCTGCCTGGTTTATTGCTAATAGCAGCGTTGTTGCCTCTGTCTGTTGATACGGTTTATATGGTTATTGGTTATAATAAAGACTTATTTTGTGTTAAACACTTCTGCCTGGTGTCCTTTTCATTCCAATCCGGATCCAATTGTTACTGTCCCCCACCCTCTTTGCCTACCCTTCATGTGGGGACATAATACATGATGACTCTCATATCATTGTAAAGGGATTTTGGACCGCTCTTCTTTGTGGCGTTGCTTCAGTTCATTGAGGTTCGCAGGCACAGCTTTCTTCAGGTCCCACCACAGCACTGAAATCTGGACTTTGACTAGATGATTGCAGCAGTGATTTTCTCCCCCCATTTTTAGTCATTTTGTTGCAGGTTTGCTGCGGTACTTGGTCCTTTTTCAGTTTTGGACAAGCTTTAGCTGTCAGACAGATGTCGTCTATTGACTGTAGAATATATACAGAAGCACATATGACCGACTCCAGGCCTGGAAGGTCCTGTGGTTACAAAACAAACCCAAATCATCATTCCTCCACCAGCGTAACCTTGACATTTGGTGCGGTGTGTTTGGTTTTCACTGTGCATTATGGCCAAACATTTCCACTTTGGGCTCGTTTGTCTAAAGCACTTTGCTCTTGGTCGGCTTGTTTGTTCGGGGTGGCTGTAGCTCAGGAGGTAGAGCAGGTCACCTACTAATCGGAAGGTTGGTGGTTCGATCCTTGGCTCCTCCAGTCTGCATGTCAAGTATCCTTGGGCAAGATACTAACCCCAAGTTGCTCTCCGATGCATCCATCGGAGCATGAATGTGTGTGAATGTAGTTAGATAGCACTAAGTATAGATAAAGTGCTTGTGAGAATGGGTGTGATTGGGTGAATGTGGCGTGTTGTATAGAGCGCTTTGAGTACTCTGAGAGAGTAGAAAAGCGCTATATAAGAATCAGTCCATTTACCATTTTGTTCAGATGCAACTTTACAAACCAAACCCGAGGTTTTCTTCTAGTAAACCTTCCAAACACGGCGTTCTTGTCCAGTCTTTTTCCAATCGTGTTGTCATGAAATTTAACATGCTGAGGCCCGTAGACTTCCCTTTTTTTTTTTTTGCAGTATCTCAGAGAAGTGCACAGTCTGCGTTTGTGGTGAGTTTACTTTGATGTCCACTCCTGGGAAGACTAGACTATTAGTACCTCTTTCCACCTGTTAATAATTGTTTGGAAATGACTTTAAAACCCTGTGTAGATTGATGGGTAGCAAGTTGGAGGTGCTCACACGTGCAGCAGATGAGCAGTGAATTAAGTGCATTTGATTAGCTTCACCTGGCTGCCACTTACCTTTCATTCCTATAGAAGCAACAAACAGTCTTCATTTTGACTTCGTTTCTGTTATGTAAATAAATAACATGATGTAATATGTCATGTGCTGTTGTTCATCTGAAGTTGTATTTTATCATTTTAAGATCCACCATTCCACTTATTTCTTTGTATTCATGAGCCGGGTTGCCTGTCTCTTTGTTTTGTTTTGTCTGTTTTGTTTCGTTCTGCTATGTTGTTGTTTTTTATTGTTTTTGTTGTTGTTGTTTTGGTTGGTTGTTTGTTTAATTTTGGTGTCAGTGTAAAGTTTAAAACTCAAACACACAGTTAAAAAAAAAACAAAAAAAACAAAACAATCCACCAAGGACCAGTTTATCATTTTATAAAAGTCACATGTAGAAATTTGGTCTGTTTCTTAAATTAATGCCAGGGGTGACTAACTCAAGACTGAAACTAATTTAAATGTCCTGATGGTGTAAAACTGACTGTTAATGCAGTTCAGCCACCTTTTCGAACATGTCAACACACCAAAGGTTCAGACAAACAGGACAGATTGTTTTTTGCCAGGGTGTACAAAAACAGTATTTTTTATGGCTCTGGGGCATTGGTACAAAGTCTGAACAGAACCATCATGAAATAATGAGGGAAAAAAAAAGTCACACCTAGCCTTGAAAGAGCTCATCGGTGAAATGTCCAATCAATTCATACCCTGAAAAAAATGAAGGGAATGTGTGAAAAATGACCAAACTGTTAATCCTCTTGAATTAATGCTGCAAACTCGTAATTCAGTAACATCATCTATGATTATAGTCCAAATACATAAAAGACCCAACTAAAAGTATCCCTACTCACATGTTCACAGATGTTATTCTGTGGCAGGTGGTTATGTAACAATTAGTATAAACATTACTGTTTATTTTGTAACAACAGCACATTACAGTCAGCATTTATTCTTTAAGCTTCTGTTTGATTTTGCTTTAACATGCTTTAAGCATTTTCTGTTTTGTCTTCCTGCCCCGGGGCCTTCAGAGGAAAATCAGTTAAATCTAAGTGAAGCAACTTTTCTATTAAACTTTTACCTCGTCCTTGGCAAACAAAATACACCTTAAAATGAAGATGTTTTTCACACAGATGTGCTGTTTCTTAGACTGAAAAGTGTCTAAGATTCTTTTTGCCTTTTTGAAGCCAAATCACATGGCAGGCAAGACATTTTTTTTTTAAAACAAAATCCTAATTGGCTAAACACAAAAACCAGTGTTCTTCACTTTGATGCTGGATATAGCATAAACCTTTTAGCTTTAATACCTCGGTGTAGATGAAAACTGTGGAACAACGAGCGCATCAAAGTCAAGCGATTTGAGGCTCTAATCTTCTGGAAGAGTTGTATTTATCCTTCCGTTTGAAGCTTCTTCACTTCTGCGAGACAATTTGTTGATGTTTGTTTCCTTTTGTGTGCCACCTATCTGCAGCTTGACTTCACTGGTTTTGTAGTTGTAGTTACTTTGTAGAGACTGTGTAATCACGTTGTCATCTCCCCCGCCCACCCATGTGGCCTTTAAAACAAAAGTCCACACAGATGGGCTGAGGCAGAGTACTGAGATCTACTCCTTATCTGGGATATGAAAACATTTGGAAACCCCCGCCTGAGTCTTACAGGTGGAACTCAATGAGAAACCTTAATCTGTTAATTGAACATCTGCGCAGCTTTGTGTAAATCTACATGAGACCTCTGATGGTGGAAACTATTTTTGTAGTGTAGACTCATCAAGACAGCAGACTGAGCTTTAAAGATGTTTACTCCTCTTTCAAAATCAAATTAAGGAACTAGTTGACAAAACATGAACACGGTTTGTCAGGTGTTATTTGTTGCTATAACAATTCCCAAGTAAATAAATACCAATTAGCTCAGTTGTTTAAAATTATAAACAGCAAAACAATGAAAAAAAAATTACCTAAGCGTAATTTTTTTTTTTTTTTTTTTTTACATTTTAATAAGAACACAGGCAATTAAAGCTACAAAGAGGTCTACAATGTAATTTAATGACATCGAGGTTTTCTGGTGCTCCGACATGTATGGGCTGATAAAGCAAACGTGCTTGCAGGTAAGAAAGCCTTGAAATGTCCTTTATCTGTAGGGGTGTGAGTGGCTGGATGTACACAGTAACCGTGGAGCAGTCCCAAAGGCGTAGCTGTGGGCTACGGGATGGCCCGGTTGGGTCTCTTTGGAGGGGGAGGGGGCATTAGCTCAGAGTCTGGGTCTCGCGGGTTTTTCCGGTTTTGGGATTGTGCTCCCTGAGCACAGCGGTCCAGATACTCAAAAAGGATTTCCTTAGTGACGGGCTCCCGGATGCTTTGACACACAGCTGGACAAAAAAAAAGGAGAAAGGAAGTTACAATAGAGATGCCGACAGGGTTTTGCAGCAACAGTGAATTCATGGTTCTTTAAAGCACGTTCTCATTCCCAGGTGATCAAATAATGCAGTCTGTCTCTTGCTAATCTCTTCCTAAACAGAACCAGTGAGTCAAAGTAAAGCAAGATGCAAAGGCGAGTCATGATGTACACTGGAACTGCCTGTTTCATGTATCATGACTCAAAGTCCTACAATCCATTCACACACCTTCTAACATGCACACACACACACTGGTGGCTGTACCAGGACCAATTTAGGGGTCAGTATCTTGTGGGCATGTCGAAAAGATGAGCCAATGATTGAACCGACTGGTAGATGACCTGCTCTGCCTCTTGAGCCACGCCCACCTCAGAGATGTCCTGGCATAAAAGTTACGTCGCCACAGCAGGTAACTCTGCATGTCTCAGTAGCCAGATTTTTGTGTGCCAAATGTCTATCCTAACACAACCCCGCTATACTATGGAGCCATTTTTCTTTTATAACCTAAGATGGCCTGGTAGAAAAAACGAAAAACTTAACGTCATCACTGACCGTCCACTCTCGAGATTTAAAAGCAAGAGACACCTTGTGCATAACAGAAAGATTCAGGCCCCTGAAACAACTGCATTCTCTGATGATGGTGTGGATCATGCAAAAACACCTAAATTAATAATTCAGAATTCTATGATTCAGAGAGGATTCGACACGCATCCAAGCTGCTAAAGTACATTTTAACCACTATTTTATCACAGACACACAACAACTTTTGAGTCACTCCCACTGTCTACGGAAACATGATATGGACTTTTTGCTTTTGCGTGCTAGAAAAAAGCTCCTCCTGCTCCACAGCTCCCTCTGCACGGTTATGACAGTGCCATAATACCAGCAGCACACAGACGACTATATCCAGCCTCTAAATGAAGCGAAATGTTATCAGCTCGGGGACAAATGTGTTACTATCTGTCCAGATTTGAGATAAAAGGCGCTTTTGCCATCTGGGCTCCAAGGCTGTACAACAGTCCGCCTCGGGATCTAAAGCTCAATAATTCAGGACCATCTTTTCTATCTTCTTCAATCAATTTCGTTCATTCTTTAAATGTGTTTTCCCTCGCTTGTGCTTCTTGTTTTTATTGCTTCAATATGTACTTTTATGCTCCTCCTTGCATAGCGCTGTGAACTCAGCATTTAGATTAAGTGCTACACAAACATGGTTTATTGCCGTGTTTATCTATTATTTTTGCATTATGTCCTCGCCTTCCTCTGCTTTGTTTGTGTCCATTTGTTTCTCCTGTTGTGGCTGCTGTGCATTTTCATAGCATGTGGCATGTTGGGGAGAACTTATTTAAAGTTTAAAACAAAAATCACAACTTGTGAAATGAAACCCAATTTGATTGAAGCATTGAATTTGTAATCTTTTTCCCCTTTTCATGCATTTCCCATTATAAGTCCATTATTTGAAAATATATTAGAAGTAGTGCCACATCTGCATTGTCTTCAAGACAGCCATTAACTGTGGAGGTGAAATGAAAGCCTAGGGTTGCATTGCCTAACTGCAAGAGATGGCCTAAAAATGTGCATGGATAACGTTTGCAGTCCATCACAGCTGGATTTTCATTCCACCTTCGAGCGTGTTCGTGTGAATCGACTGCAAACATATTTGATTTTTGACTGATGTCGTTGCACCGAAGTAGGTCTGAGAGACCATAACCCGGGCCAGATTAAAGCCCTTGAACTAATAAATTGTCTGACAGCTCTGTGGTAGCGTTTATCCTCTCTCACAACATCTACCTCTTTACTGCTCTAGGGGTGCTGCTGGTGGAGAGGAAGAAAGGGTACTCAGACTGAGAACTCAAGATTTATTCTAACTTTAAGACCCATAGCTCATTAAAACCTCTTTAAAGAGACTTAAATGTACAAGCACAAGACAAGCAAATTCTTGTACTTAAAAAAAAAAGTTAAAAAATGCTTATTTAAAGCACTGACAGTTTAAGGTTTTTTGGCTCTCAAAGTTGAGTCTGCATCTCATCCATAAACAGGGTTTCGCTATAAATTATTACAGTGTCCTGCATCATTATATATGTACAAAAAAGAGAAACTATACAGCAAAACACTTTATTGCCAAAGTGTGCAGAAGACCAACAGCGTAAAAAATGCAGAGCCTCAAAGCAGCGGAAGAAACTGAGGCTGCAATTCACACTGGACCACCAAAATTGGACAATAGAGGATTGGAAAAACGCTGCCTGATCAGATGAGTCTCCATTTCTACATTTGCATGGTTGGGATTTGTTCAGAATTTAGCATAAGCACCATGAAACCATGTATTCATCCTGTCTACTATTAATGGTTCAGGCTGGTGGTGATGTTGATGGTAGGGGGATTTCTTCTCAGCACAATTTGGGGCCCTAAGTTCCAACTGAGCATCATGTAAGCACCACAGCTGATAGAATCTCACACCACCCTACATACAAGCCGGTGTTGCCCCTCTGCAGCCAATGTGGCTCCAATAAACAAGACCCTGTCTCACTGAACAGGGAGAGAACAACAATTTATGTCAACGCTCAAAGCGGTCAAACCCTGGACCACTAAACAAAAACCAGCATGTATAGAAAAAATGTGTGGTGTGGTGACTTTGCCCCAAAGGCATATTTTTTTCCTAGTAAGCTTTACTACAAAGACAGACGACAAGTAGTTTTACCTACAAGTAATAAGATGCATCATACGGCTGAAACTGTGTGACCCTCCACTGTGCGCATTAATCAGCACAACCATAAGACCGACTTATGGTTCCTACTGATTGGTTCTTTGGGGTCAGGGGCAGGAGAAAGGCCATCTTTGCTGCTACAGTTTTCCATTTAGCTTCCTTTGATTGTCATGTCTCGCTCTTACCACGCGTCTGTTCAAGTGAACCTTTCCTGCAGACTAGCAGCTTGGCTTATTAGCAACCCAGGTAGCTAGCTGAACAGTACATGGAAATATTTTGAGCCCAAACCAGCTTAATTGGTTCTGGGATTGTAAACAGGTGCTTGGAAAATGCTGTCTTGTAAGGCCCCCAGAAAGTCTTCATAAATACTGTGATGCTGCCAATGATTTCTTAGCAACAGACAAAACGTTTAATTTTAATATTAAGACAAAAAAAAAAAAAAAAAAGACACTGTACATTAAGCTTAATCGGTACGGAGATTAATTATTAGTCTGTAGATGGCTGTGGATGAAGCAGAGGCAGCAGGTTAACATCTCGGCGGGCAGTTAAAGACATTTATATTCTACTTGATCAACCTGTTTGATAAACTCTTAGTAGTTTGTCGTACAGATGAACGAGCGTCGTCTAAAGTTTCTTTAACTCCACTGTTCTGCATGAGGAGCTCAGCCTTGCCCTCAGGCAGCCAGCAAAGAGCAGAAGAAAAAAAAAGAAGCAAAAAGTAAAAAATAATTGCTAACATCCGCAGCATGCACCGTGCTATCAGATTTAATTGAATTGCTGAACTTTCATTATTGAAACAGTAACAATGATTTCATTTTCTCGCTTATCAGCCAATAATATATTATGCGCATTCCCATTCACGACAGTAAAACCTCTTAAAGATTGGAAATTGTGTGGCAAAATGTCAGCTACTCTATTCACAGTGAGGAGCTAAAGAAAACAATTTGTCCTCAGCTCCAAAGACAAGGCCACAGTGTCAGTGTGCATTCTTCATGGAGAGTACACAACATAACATCTGCCCCTCCGCATACACAGTCTCACAATGCAGAAATAAAACTGAGGCGGGAGACTGTTGCAAATAAAAAAAAAAAATAGATAAAATAACCCATTAATCACAGGCTGACTGGCTGTTATTTGCACAGATTTAGACTTAGATACAGGAGACAGTGGGATATTAAAAATAACGGCTGGAAGGAGAAGGACAAAGACTCACCCATGGCTGTATCATAGGAGTTGGGGAAGCTCTTGTCCACCCTCTGCCTCATGAACACCCAGCTGTTGTTGGTAAAGGTGCACTCAATGATCTTGTTGTCGTATTGTTTCAGCTCTTTAGTGGCCTGCGCAGACAGAGATGAGAGACGGCGCGTGCCTTTAATGTGAGCGAATACAAAGCATATTCTTTTCTCTTATCACACGTTAAAAATTGTGAATCTAGGTGGCGTATTATGGTCTGGTTTACCACAGCCTTGCTTTTTTACTTTGATCTGAATCATTGTAAAAGGTTTCAGGCACATGCTGCACAACTGATCAATGCAGCTACTTTTGATAAATGACACACACAACTGCAATTTCTTCACATTTTCTTTATCATCATCATCAATTTTGTTATTACTGATACTAATTAGATACTTTTAGAAGACATCAAGAGGAAAAAGACTTAAGCTTAAGGCTGCTCTATGCCCGATGCATTAAATTCTACAAAAGCAAAGCAAATTGCAATGACAGAGCACTAAATTGGGATTAAACTGAGCACAGCGTTGGTTCATACAGGCCACAAAGATCAGCTAATCTCAGTGCATATTAGCTGATGGCTTAGCAGATATCACTCTAAACATCCAAATGGCACAACTAATTCTGGAAACAGTGTTTAAAGATGACTTGTTATACTTTTGTTTATAGTCATGGAGAAATTGAGCATGAGAATGGCTGAGAAAGGTGATTTAAGTGGCTTTAAATGTGTCATGGCTGATGGTGCCAGACTGGCTGGTGGAAATATTTCAGAAACTGGTGATCTGCTGGGATTTTCTCCCACAACCATCTCTAGGGTGTACAGAGAAAATATCCAGTGAGCTGCAGGTCTCTGCGCATCAGGGAGGTTCCAGCACAGAGCCATGTCACCAAATTACTACAGATGGAAATAATCTATTTTGACTTTACTGGTCTTCACTGAAACACAGTAATATGCAGCTCACTGTGCAGATTAACTGAATGTCTTATTCAAGTAGCGGCAACATTTGACTGAAGCAAATACTGACATGTCTTGTGGGAATCTTCTGAGACCAAGGATCTCTCTAAGAGAGAAAACACTCAAGAAGACTCAGAAGTCTTATACAGAAATATTTTGGGTGACATTTTTGATATCAAAGGATAAATGTAACATGTGTAGTGCCATCAAGTTTATTTACTGCAGGGAATATTTAAAGTCATTCAGCGCATCAGTTAATTTATCCTAGACACCGTAATGCTGGTGCAACTCTCTGACACATATTGCTCAGATTCAAATAATAAACAATAAGTTCTGCAGGTTGGAGGAGAAAAAAAACAACAACATAAGCATAAGCACTCATGGAGGCAGTTTGGATACACCAAAGCTGTAAAGAAACAAGTAAATTAATTTCTGATTAATCAATAGCTTAATCATTTTTTTTAAGTATATAAAATGTCAAAAACCCAAGGTGGCATCTTCAGATTACCTTAGTTTGACAAACAATAAAAACAAGTAAGTAAATAAATACATTTAATTGAGAATAATACACAGAAAATGTTCACATTAACATCCATTTGCCACAGTTATAAATTTTAGGTTTCTATTAAATGAATGTATATTGCTATTTGTATTGGTCTTTAATACTATTTGGGCACAAGCTTTTTTTATGTACAGTAGTTTAAATTCTTATGTTATTCTTCTTGTGTCACACATTTCCTTCAAGTTTCAATTGATTTTTAGCATCAGTATTAAATTATTGTGTAACTGTACCTTTTAGAAGATGAAAATATCAAAAGCACAGGCAATAAAGTATTGTAGTTTAGACAAGGTAGGTTTAAATGTAATAAATAGAAATCAACTGTGGTGTGATTTTAGGAAGCATGCTTCTTTGAATGTAAGACGAGGCTCTGATGCTTCATGCAGAAGTATGACGGAAGCTAATCATGTAGTTAATCTTTATATTTGATCATTAAACACAGCTGCATTGCTTCAGAAGGACCTACAATAACACATCAGCACATACAAACACTAACACAACACGAGTGTCTGTATTTCATCTCTCAATAAAGCAGTGCAACAGCTCCTGCTCCACCTACTGAGCTACACAGGATCACTGACTTATTACATCACACTTTGCTTTGAAAACAAAATCAGCTCTACACACTGAGCACACTGTAACACTGCTGAAGTATAAGAAAATGGCACACGATACTGAAGATCAAGTATGAGTCAAAGAAGACATTTGAGCATCTGTTGTTTATTTGTCGAGGGACTGAGAGGATTGTCGAGACTTGGAAAAATGCAAATCTTGTAGCTGCTGGGAACGTGGAAGACAAAAAGTGCAGCTGAAGCGGTCACGTGCAATTGCACGCTTTTAAAATACGCAATAGAATAAGCAATGACATGAGGTCTATGAGGTGCTGTGATGTGACTTTTCACCTTGGCCTCGCAGAGAGTAAAAATGACGAATGCCTCCGGGGTTCAGCGTGAACACGCGACCTTTAGCTGAGGTCAGAGAGTGACTTGAGTTGCCAGGAAAGCACCAGTATTTGGCAAGACGCTAAAAACACAAAGTAAGAGCTTATGTGATCCTGGAGTGTGGTGCATCTGGGATAACAGTGGGGGTTGAATTCATACAGGAAGCAAGAACGCTTGTGAGAAAGGAAGACAGAAAGTGAGAGAAAGAATCCAGACTAAACAGACATCTTTTAAAAATGGCTTTTTAGATAAACACACTAAATGGCCTCTAAATTGATTTGCAGCTGTAACTGTTAAATATTGACAAAAGTACCGAAATCTTATTTTGAAGCCAAGTCAAACATTTTTTATTTTTTTACTAGGAGAAGAATTGCACATGATGTAAAGCAGCGACAGAATCTCTGAGCTTTCCTAAAGCTCCACACATCAAACTGCCAGCAAGCTGTGAAGGGCAGTACAGGCAGGCGGGACGTGCTGCTACAGGCTGGATCTCTTCCTGCTGGTGAAGGGTGACATGTTGGCTGCCATTTTCCATCACCACTTGGTGCTTAATCCATCCAAATCTGTCTCATTATGGCAGCACACGTGTGCCACCAGTTATCAGGGACTTTGGCAGTCAAACTCTTTATCAGCCAATGTTGCACTATTGCAGAGCAGAAGCGCTCTGCTGCCTGCCTTCTATTCAAATCCAAATATATACAGCAAATATTAACATGGCTGACAAGGAAGAAAAGCAGCTTTTTGTTGTGGACAATTTTTTTTATTTTTTTATTAAAACGTGATGAGAGAGCTCTTTTTTTTCCCCAAGTATCAAGGGTCAGTGAAAAGACACGGAGGTTATGATTGGTCATACTGAAAAAGTTCCAGGACTTGACCGATCAAACCACTGTTATGACCACTTGCAAGAGAGAAACAACTTCTCTTTCAAACTGACTCAACTTTGTTTCATGTCAAGCATCATCGTTGTTGATGAGAGCTCCATTTCCACAGCGTCTTGTGTAGAACACTCAGCTGAAACAACATGAACCATGGTGTGTACCTTTGTGGTATTGTCTGCTGGATATAAGTCATTTTTTGTTTTTCCCTCCACCTGCGAGTTCATCCACTTCCACAAAACGACACTATAGCTGAAGGGTTGCTGTTCTGAGCACTGCAGAAGAACAATCGCAAGAAAACAGAACAGGATTTCGAGGGAGTGACTAAAGTCTGAATCTGATTCCTGAAACCTTTTCACTGCATCGTGCATGCTGTAGAGTGGTATTTTTAATATCCAGGCTCATGTTCATAAAAACACTAATTACTCATGACGTGATTATGTCTTAATGAATGCAATTTCCATTCACATTAGTGGTACAGTGCCAGTGTGTCATCTGATAATCCCACTAAGGATTTCTTGTGACTGTACAATGTTATTTTCCCAGTAATATATTCTGTCTCCCACTGTTTAGAAATTTTAATTTAAAAATTTTAAGGCATTATCGCTTCATATATGCAGCAGTAAAAAAAGAAAAATAGCCAATCATTAAGGTAACAATGCTGTTATCTTGTCCTGTGTATCCATTTTTATTATTCTGGTCAGGGAGTTTATAGTAGCGCTGACCTCAGGCAGTTCAAGTTACAAATAGGGCTGTTCGATATAACGATATATATCGGATGACGATATAAAAACGTCTATCGTTTCATTTTACGCTATCGTTTGTTTCGTGGTGTCACAAAATAAACTGTTTACGGCAATATTTTTTCATCGTTCTGATGGTCACTGTAGTGGCTGTATTCATTTCTTAAAGTTCTCTCTTTCTCTTATATTTAATATAATGACACTACGGATTGACAAGAGCATGTTTTTATGCGTTGACGTTAGCAACAACGACGGTAACACCATCGCGTGTCCGCTTGTTTATGTTCCACATAAACCTTTCACAATAAAGCTCAAGATCCTGTTGAGACTTTTCAAAATAAACTGAATCGCGTGAAAGAGTATGCAGAGTGTTTACAGATGAGAAACAAAAAAGAGCCGTCAGGTGCTAAAAAATAAACCTTAGACTCAAATGTTAGAACAGGTTTTTCCCCGCAGCACGCCGTGTAATAAATACAAAGAAAACGGCGGCCGTTACAACTTATGTCTAAAAATGTATAGTTTCATACATCGTTAAAACACTGGACTCCAGGTACATGACGCGCAGCTGGAAACACTTCATGCCAGTCGAGCTGCCCGAGATTCACAGAATTTACAGAAAATGTAAAATTTTTGTGATTTATATTGTTATCGGACGATAGATGTCTTATAATGGGATATGAGATTTTGGTCATATCGCACAGCCCTAGTTACAAATCACACAGAAGGAAATCTGCAGCGATCTGGACTTGTCTTTAGTAGATCTTTCCAGCCTGAAGATTTGATATGGTTAAGAAGAGCATACCAAGGTTGAAGTGTCTATAGCCAACTGTTGTATTGTAGTGCTGATGATGTTTGGAAAGGCATTATATAATGTATATTTCAGCAAGCACAGTGTACAGTACATAATCCCTTTAACTTCACTTGTGCACACAAACGTTAAAATCCCCCAGGTGTTTTTCACAAATAAAGAAGCAGATTTTGGCAGGAAGTCAAGGAAAATATTGAAATATAGACTCCCTAACCCTTACCAAGCA